CTCTGAATAGTTACTTTTAAAGGCGTGTAGTCTTACTGGGGTATAATAAACTCTGTGTATCACATTAAATTGAATGAGTTTATGGCGGCTATTGATTGACAGAGTCTGAGCTTTCTCACATATGGTTTCCCATTCATCATCACCGTCGGTGTATGAATGAGTGAGTGAATGAGTGAGTGAATGGGTGAATGAGAGGCAAAATGTAAAGCGCTTTGGTGGCCATTGGGTCTGTGAAAGCGCTATATAAATGCAGTCCATTTACCATTTACCATCACTGAATGAGCACTCCAGGTCTTTTTCCCATTTAAATTTAACATTGCAAAGATTGCCAGCCATCAACTGGGACAGTTTACCATAAATAAATGATATAAGACCTTTAGGGTCTTTTTAATCAGATAAGATGTCCTCCAGGGGGGAAAGGGAAAGGTTAGATAGGCGACCACCTTGCTGAGTCTGAATGTAGTGTCTAACTTGTAGGTATTTGAAGAAAAATTTAGAAGGGAAGCAAATTTCTGTTGTAGCTGCTCAAAAGACATGAGTGTATCCCCATCGTAAAGTTCTTCGAAAGTTTGAATACCACAGTCATACCATTGTTTGGTTATGCCATGTTTAAGAGCTGAGGGTAGGAAAAGATTATAATAAAAGGCAGTGGATCTGAACAAAGTATGTTTGCATTTCATCTTTTTCCTGAGGTCTGTACAAATTTTACAAGTACCCACGATCAGAGGATTTAAAGTCAATTTTTTAAGCAATTCAGAGGGACAAAAGGCGTTGCAGCAAGACCTATACCCTGTGTACTGGCCATAATAAAAAATGGATTCTGGCTTTTCCTGTAGCTTTATACATTTTTTCCCAGAGTTGAGAAGGCAGGTAATTCACAGTGTTTTGACTCGCACCCAATAATCCAACGAGATGGTTTTGTCCGAGAATATGCCGTTTTTTTATTACAAATAAAAATAAAATACAAACAAAAGATGCAATGAGATGCAAAAATGATAAGAGTTTAATTGCAAGACAATGTCAGCACAAGAGCAGCGTGTCAGGCAGGTGTTTGAGCGGGCGAGGTCAAGAACGGTCTCTCTGCGGCCTGCTCTCCTCCTGTCATGCGCAGGTGGCATCTCTTTTATCCAGGTTGGGTGACACCAGTTACCACCTAAAGGGGGTGCACCCTCACAAAACATAAGAAACTTAAATGTGGCTCCTACACACCGGCCCCTAATTGTTCTCCAAGAATCAATTATTTTACAACATACAAAAAGGAGCCAAGTAATAAAGTATCCATTCTCCATGTAATGATTAAAACACTATTTCCCTGTATAGTGTTATCAAGGACATCATTGGAGTCGTCATCAGGATTAATCGTCAGCCTCAAGGATCCGGCACAATTTGGTGATGGGCCTCTCAAGGACTGAAGTCTTAGTCTTCAACTTCACAGACCTGACCAAGCCTCTTGAATCTGATGTCGTCTCCAGGACTCTTCCTAATGGCCAGGACCCTCGTGGAGCAGTTGGATCGACCACCAGGACGAGGTCTCCGATGTTGAAGTTCTTCTTCACGCCTGTCCATTTCTGCCTCTCTTGAAGCAGGAGAAGATATTCTTTCGTCCATCGGAGCCAGAAGAGATCAGCCATGTACTGGACCTGTTTCCAGCGCCGCTTGGCGTAGATGTCGGACTTCTGAAAGACTCCAGGGGGCAGTGTTGGCATGGTCTTCATCAAAAGGAGATGATTGGGGGTCAGCGGTTCCAGGTCATGGGGGTCTGAGGACACAGTGGTGAGGGGGCGGCTGTTTAGGATTGCCTCCACCTCACAGAACAGGGTTTGAAGGCCTTCATCGTCCGTGGTTTGCGGATGCAGAGTGGAGTTGAGTACCTGCCGGACGGATCGAATGAGTCTTTCCCAGACCCCGCCATGGTGTGATGCAGCCGGTGGGTTAAAACTCCATGCAATGCCATCAGGAAGCAGGGCATCTTGAATCTTCTTCTGATTGAGAGACATCAGGGCCCTCTTCAGCTCTGCATGCGCACCCACCAAGTTCGTCCCGTTGTCAGACCTGATGTGCTTGACTTGGCCTCTCCTGCACACAAATCTCCTCAAGGCATGAATGCATGAATCCGTATCCAAAGTATAAGCCATTTCCAAATGTACTGCTCTACTGGACATGCAATTAAAGATGACTCCATACCTTTTGATGGTGCTCCTCCCTCGTCTCACCTCAATTGGACCAAAATAGTCCAGTCCTACATTGGTAAAGGGTGGAAGGTCAGGT